TCTTACTTGTATAGTGGGTAATTTTCAAATGGGTTTAAGTTTGGTACAATTCTCAGGTCCTTCCTTGTACCAAAATAAAAACCTAGAAAAATACTTAAATCTCAAACCCACAATCATTTTATAGTTCTATTTTCGTGACACGACGAAGCTTGTTTGTGTTCAAAACTACGTGTAGCTGTTAGATATTTGATATTCCCGACTGTTTCAGTTTGTTTTTGAATTTCGTGCAAAGCTACACGAGGGATATCTGCGTTAGATATCATCACCACCCACTGCCAACTCTTTTACCAACGAATAGTTGGTCGACCGTCACATTATAACGCCCCCACGGCTGAAAGTGCGAGCATGTTTGGTGGGACGAGGATTTGAACCCGCGACCCGCAGATTGTGAGTCGAGCACCCAAACCACCTGGCCATGCCGGGCTGCAGTTTAAGTTTAATGCGAGCAAACATTATGATTTAGATAGTTTATATAGCTTGGGTTTCATAGTTAGTTATTTTTTGAAGCAAGAGTTTATAGCAAGTTTATTTATGTAATTGTTTACTAATCTTACATTGTGTATCATGTACGTTAAGTTGTTATAAGTTTGCAATTGTCATATTGTTGCGTCATGTTACTAGAAATTTCTGAATTTTTCTTGTTGATTTAATTGAGTATTATTGCATCAGAATATCTAATATTGACTGCTGTCGGGGTATAAATACGCGTCGATAGATTATTATTTACATCTAAACTGCGTAACTGTGAGTTTGGTGATATAAAGCGTATAGTGGCGATTTTTAAAGTGAAATTAACACAAACTGTATTATAATAACAGAGCAGAGAAGAATATTTCGCCTTGCCAATGGTGTTCTAAAGTAATTGAACTAGCCTCTGTGGACTTTGACGAAAAAGATACAATTATTCAAAGCTCTGGACACAAATGTGATAACCAATAGTGTAACGAACATTTGTACACAGCGTGGTCACAAGTAAATAGACACCACCTTTTCAGAAAAAATGAAAATTTTCAGTCATATTCACATGAATTGATATATTTATACTTTTATCAATATATAGTAGATCTTCCTTTCGCTTCGTGGAGTTCGTTGATCTTTTGGGGCATCGTGAGAATCATCTCGTCAGTTTTAGATTGTGGTATTTTCGCCCACTTTTGCTTCAAAACTTGGAGTAGATTGCTCTTCGAAGTTGGTTTTTTGGTTGTTTCTTGACTTGCCGGTTGAATATAGCCCAGAGGTTAACGATGGGGTTGATGTCAGGAGATTGGCTCGGGCAGGGCAACTTCTGGATACCATTTTCTTCCTGCCACTTTTGG